CGCCTGGTTTGTTTTAAAGCTCATCTGGCTTTAGAGTTCATGCTCTTAACTATCTCACCTAGTAGGAACCCCAGAGAACATTTCAAATCAAAATTAAATCTAAGTCGAGTCTACTTTGATTTAATGCAATAATTTTACATCTGACATTTTCCTATCAGTTTACAGTTTGCAAAGACTTTTGCTTCCATCATTCTGGAATCTCAGCCCTGCTAGTAACTTGATTTCAGGTCAGTGACTGGCTAAGCTTCAGCTTTCCCATCTGTAAAGTGAGGACAATAATACCTGTCAGGAGGGTTAAAGCCCTAGGCCAAGCCCATGTTAAGCACTCAGCAAGTGTTTGCAGCTAATGTTGTTGTGTTGACTATTAATATTTCATTAGAACTTCATAACAACAGTGTGAGGTAAGTAAGATTTTCTATCCTCATTTCTCAGATGCAGAAACTGAATCACAGGGAAGGGAAATAGCTAGCCAGAAAGGAAAGAGCCAGAAAGTGGAAACGCCAGACTTGGAAAATGTTCCAACTCTCAGCCTGCTGCCCTGCTCCCAACCTTCAACTCCACCTCCTCTCTCTTCCCCAGGAGGCACTGTTATATGAACCAGGCCCTTCTTCAAACAGGACCGTGGAAAACTTTGAAGCAACTAGAAGTCGAGGCTCAGGGAAAAGCTCTGAGGAATTATATTAAGAAAGTTTTCAGGGTGAAAATTGGTACCGATGGAGTGACAGAGGAGCAGCACCTTGCTTCATCCCCAAGCAACTGTCAGAGGGGCAGAGGGGCCCAAAGCCACACACTGTGATGAGCTGTGCTACCCCAGAAACCACAGCGGCCGGATCTTGGGCACATGGTGGGGTGTCCTCAGGCCAAGAAGTGAAGGAGAGCAGGGGTGCTTATCTCTTAGAGGTCTGAAGAGGAGCATTTTTAAACACTGTCTAAAATAAGCAAATACCACTTTAAAACTGCATTCCATGTTGGGTTTTTTGTTTGTTTGTTTTTGATTTATTCTTTTGGTTTTCTATAATTCTGCATGTCAATGAATTCGTTCAAGTTTCTATTAGTGCATCCTGTTGTGATACTCTGTGCAGTTGAGCTTGGCAAAGGTTCTGTGATCAAGTCAGTCTGTCTTCTGAGGTGTAAGATCTTAGCCAGCCTCTTTAAGGCTCAGTTTCCTCGTCAGTACCAGTCATATGATTGGGAGATTCTGCGAGTTGGGGTCTCTGGATTTAAGGCCAGCCTTCCCAGACTAAAAATCATATGCTTTCTCCTACATTAAGCAGAGGCTTCACCTATACTTGTTCCTTTTAGTTCTTTATTTTGTATCCTTTTGTAGTAAGGTATTTAAAAAAAAAAAAGACTTCATATATGCTACTTGCAGAGCCTCATCTCATTAACATTGCAATGGTTTATTCAGAAAACTGCTAATGAACACCGCTAAGTGCCATGCGTTGTGTCCGGGACCATACAACAGTGACAGACACCTCACAGAGTTTACAGTGAACTATCCCTGCTATTGTGTATAGCTTTTGTTAACAGCTAAAAAGACAGAGATACCAACTACTTTGGGTTTCCTCATAGTATCTAGGACATGGTATGGGCCATGGTTAGCTACGTAATATTCTCAGAATTTAACTTAAACAATTAATTGATATAGATCAAGAAGCGAAGGTAATAAAAATGTACAACATTTAAGTCAGACTTTAGCTGTAATTAATGACCTTGCTTGTGGTAGAGACCTCTCCCCCACAGATTGGCTACATTCCTTTGAATCTGGATATAAAGTGCTACTCAAGACTTGGATGACAGCAACTCCGGAAAGCCAACCAGGAGAGTGGTCTGAACCTTGGGATGTGCCCCTCACCGACCCCACCACGGTGAAGCTGGCAGAAATAAAACCTTCGATGCATCACACCAGAGTAAAGAAATCACCAGAGGAAAAATGGACCGCCAAGCCTCAAGATGACCTGAAAGTCATCTTTCAAAAACAATGACTTATATTCATTTCATTACTCTTTGTTTAACCCTATATTATAGAGAACTTGTTCCTTTCAAATGAGATAAAAATATTTGGATATATTTAAACATCTCTGAATTTTGCCTTGCAGTAGGAATTTACATTGAACAAACTCTCACTATGTCTTACAGGTATTTGGACTCCCCTAGAAAGCCTTTGAAATTATACTTTGTTTAAACATATCAACAAGAAAATGACCTACTCTGCTATTTATAATTGGGAACCTGTGGTAATTCTAAAGGACAGGGAAATATTTTCTTAAAAGTCACTAATGTACCCCAGCTGAAGAGCGTACAACTTTTGTCAGTTGTACTACAAACTGTTTTGTGCTTTATCATAGCTTGTTGTTGCACACAATGTGCCCCCTTAAGTGGATCTGCAATTAATTGTATTCCTAAGCCCCCTACCAGACAGTCTAATGCTAAGATACGTGCTCAACAACAAAATGAGTTTTTCCAATGACTTCCATATGAAACTGATCTCATAGAAATAAGATAGTTTAAACTAACAGTGGGGCTCAAATGTTGGAAAAATTTTAGTTTCAGGTAATAGCTAATAAGCTTAGTAATCGAAGTATGTAAAAATCTGTTGTTTCAAGAACTGAAGGTATGACCGACCCACCTTGACTCCAGGAGACCCTAAGCAGTTCCACCGTTGAGCCTCAGGAGGACTGCAAGCCATCGAGATGGCATCTGAGCCGTTGTACTCCAGGGTGAGGTGTCCACTGCCCAGGGCACAGAAAAAGAATGCTGCAGCTTTTATCTGATTAACTTTTTCCCTGAATTCTAATCCCCTTACCTCCACTCTTCTTCTTATAAATAAGATTGGCTGAAAATGGAACTTAAGATGGTCTGTTAATGTACAAACCTGCCATCTTCTCAGATCACCAGCCATCTGAATAAAGCGCCCATAAAGATGTTTAAAAAAATTAATTGTTCTGTTAAAAATGTACATTTTCTCTAATTAGATGATATTCTACTTATGCCCACAAGGTGGAGATCTTGCTTACAGTTTACCCAAGTTGAAAGTAATGCATTTGGGGAAAAAAAGAAAAAAAAAAACTTCTCAGCAGAAGTTACAACAAAAAGACAAAAAATTAAACGGAATTTATTGAGCCTGTCTTTAGTATGGTATACCATGTTAGCTATTAAGATAAATAGAAAGTTGATAAGACATAGTCCCTGCCCTCTAGGGAATGTTAGGGGTAAAGAGTTTGCACAAGGCAGGAAGACAAGTACCCTTCAATGAATTAATATGTTTTGATGTGTCCATATGGGAGCAATAGTAATCTCATCATCAGATAAGATCTATAAAAAGGCAATGATATAGCCACTGTATGATGCAGAACAGATGCAACAAAGATCAATATGGAAACACTTGAGGGTATACTAAGTTGGTACTGGAAGGCCCTCTGTGTGGTCTGATGCCTCTACTCGGCCTCAAATGTTAGGGTATCTGCCCTGTAACTCCAGAACATTCATTCTTTGGAGAATAAAATACACTCAGTGCCAGCTGATGACCTAATACAGTTGAAACCCCCACGTGCAGTTGATGGGGAATAAAAAGACAGAAAGAAACACATATAAGAAGACATTTAAAACTCCTTCTTTGAGGAGGTAGCTCCGACCCCCACCAGCTACCATGTGTCTTACCTGGGAATTTTGGCTGGGATCTGGGACACACTCTGGGACAGAGAGGGAAGGAGGTGTACCCATTCTTACCCAAGAGCTTTTCTGATGGATTGAACCCAAATGTGCCTGGAAGACGTGCAGTTTGTTGTTTTGTTATTTATTTGTTTGTTTCCTTAATTTTTGTTCTTCCATCCCTCCCCCAATTGTTTATTTTTTCCTTTAAACCATCATACCATTAAGTTAAATGCAATATAGGGATTTTCTTTATTTGTTGAATTGAAAATCACATTTGGTTAATAAAGTGATTGACTAAATCACAGTTAGTAAAGGAGAGAGAGGGAAAAAAAATACTAGCAACTTGATAAAAATATGGAGGGAAAACGAGGTGGCATGCTACCAAGAGACCCGAGCTTGAATTTAGTTTCTCCACTTGCTAATTGTGGGATCTTGAATAAACGTCATCCCTGCTCTGTGCCTGTTTCCTCATAGAATAGTATCATTTCTTTAGAGAAATCATCCCTGACACCCACTCCCCCCACCACCCCGCTCACTAGGTCAGATCCTGGGTTATAAGGCCCTCATAGCAATTTGAACGTCCCCCTATAAGGTAAGCTCCACGAGCCCAGGGACCTGGATCTGTGGGTTTTACTGAGACCAGAATCGAGGGCAGACGCTTTGTTGAATGATTGAACGAATGAACGGGAGCTGACCTAGGTGCTCGACTTGCACAGCGAGATTGACGTCCCTGCCAGTGCTTCGGAAGGAAAGGTGCAGTGACCAGAGGTAGTGAGCACGCTCTGGGAAAGTGCGTGTCGGTTCGAAATCGGATTCCTTTCCTCTGGAGTCCCATCCTCTGTGGCTCGGCGAAATTCCCAGAGGTTTACATAAGGCAGAGTGAATCACACGTTGGAAAAGAAAAAGGCAAAGGGACCCGCCCTAATCCTCGCCAGGCAGCACCCAGAGCGTGGTGAGGGTTAGTCTGAAGTTGGGAGGAGACCAGACGCTGCCCAGGCCAAGAAACCCCACCACTCCAACCCCCACGAGGGTGGGGGCGCGTCTCTCCCAACCCGCCTGACCCCAGCTCAGTACCACTCCCTCCAACGCCCCTGCGTGGACGCAGCCAGACGGCGGGGGGAGGGGGGCTTCCGCCTGGCCCCTAAGTCCCCCACCGAGTGTGGGGCCTCCTCTCCGGCTTGGAAGAAGCCATCGCCGCTTTAAGGGGAAGAGGAGGAGAAGAGGGTGGAGGAGTTGGGGGCGGGGAACGCAGCGGAGGAGGGGAGGGGGGATCCCCCTCGCTCCCACGTGGTCCGGACGCCTGTGAATCGAGCCCGCCGGAGGGTCTCACAGCGAAATACAAAAGCAGCTGGGAAGCTGCAGCGAAGCGAGTTCCCAGCACCGGGCAGAGCCCCGCACTGCCTCGCGGCCACGATGGGGCTGAGGCACCCGGAGCCCCGGAGCCAACAAGCTGCTGGTCCCGCCTCGCCACCGGGACCCGGGCTCCCGGGCTCGGCTTGAAGCGGCGGCGGCGGCAGCTCCGGCACCGAAGGAGGAGCATGGGCAGGAGGATGCGGGGCGCCACCACCACCGCTGGTCTCTGGCTGCTGGTGCTGGGCTCGCTGCTGGCGCTGTGGGGCGGGCTCCTGCCGCCGCGGACGGAGCTGCTCATCTCTCGGCCGACCGAAGACGGAATCCTGCGGCGACCGCCAGGGAGTGGTGGCCGAGAGTCCGTGCCTCGCTTTCCTCAGCCCCCGCTCCTGGCGCGGGACGCCCGCAGCGGCTCCCTGAAAACTTTCCGGTCTCTGCTCACCTTGGCGGCCGGCGTAGACGGTCCGCCACGGCAGCCCCCGGACAAGCGCCGGCGGCACGTGCCAGCCGGGCTGCCCTGGCCGGAGGAGCGCGCCGTGGTGCACGGGGGCGTCTTCTGGAGCCGCGGCCTGGAAGAGCAGGTGCCCCGGGGCTTCTCGGAGGCCGAGGCAGCGGCGTGGCTGGAGACGGCGCGCGGCGCCCGGGTGGTTGCCCTGGAGCGCGGGGGCTGCGGACGCAGCTCCAACCGGCTGGCACTCTTCACCGACGGCACCCGTGCCTGCGTGCGCTATGGCATCAACCCGGAGCAGATACAGGGCGAGACCCTGTCCTACTACCTGGCACGTCTGCTGGGGCTCCAACGCCACGTGCCGCCGCTGGCACTGGCCCGGGTGGAGGCTCGGGGCGCGCAGTGGGCGCAGGTGCAAGAGGAGCTTCGTGCGGCGCACTGGACGGAGGGCAGCGTGGTAAGCCTAACGAGCTGGCTGCCCAACCTCACAGATGTGGTGGTGCCCGCGCCCTGGCGCTCCGAGGATGGCCATCTGCGGCCCCTACGTGCCGCCGGGGACGAGCTAGCTAACCGCAGCCAGGCGGAGCTGGTGGACCTGGTGCAATGGACCGACTTGATTCTCTTTGACTACCTGACGGCCAACTTCGACAGGCTCGTCAGCAACCTCTTCAGCCTGCAGTGGGACCCGCGCATTATGCAGCGCGCCACTAGCAACCTGCACCGCGGCCCCGGCGGGGCGCTGGTCTTTCTGGACAACGAAGCGGGTTTGGTGCACGGCTACCGAGTGGCGGGCATGTGGGATAAGTATAATGAGCCACTGCTGCAGTCGGTGTGCGTGTTCCGAGAGCGGACAGCGCGGCGCGTCCTGGAGCTGCACCGCGGCCAGGACGCGGCTGCCCGGCTGCTGCGCCTCTACCAGCACCATGAGCCTCGCTTCCCGGAGCTGGCGGAGCTTGCCGACCCCCACGCTCAGCTACTGCAGCGCCGCCTCGACTTCCTCGCCAAGCACATTTTGCACTGTAAGGCCAAGTACGGCCGCTGACCTGGGGCTTAGCATTACTCTTACGAAGAGAGAGAGAGAGAGAAAGAGACCCCTGGCTGGGGAATGGGGAATGGGGGAAGGGCTGTCGCCTCTGCCACCGCCTAGGACCAGCCAGCCGGCCAACGCCCAGCCAGTGGCATGAGCGGGAAGGCAGCTAAAACTTCAGTCTCACCTACCTGCCCCTTTCCCTCAGTTTCATGCTGTTTCATTTCAAAGTCCTAGGAGAACTCACCGCGGTGAGAAGTATAACATCCCTTCCACCCAGTCTATAAAAAGCTGCTTTTCTGTGCCAGCAGGGAGTTTGGATCGGAAGAAAACTGGCTGCTGGAGTTTGGCCCCCCGGTGGCCGTCTCTGTGGGAGATGCATCCCATTCCTTGTCCTCCTCTCTCTTTCCCAAAAAGGAAAACTTCTGTCTGAGCCTTTGAGCTAATTGTGCAGTTTCCTACCAAAAGCAGCTCTGGCGGCCCGGAGACGGCGGTGACATTGGCTGGTGGAGCCCCCTTCCTGTCTTCTCCCTTTGTTCCAGCTGGTGATGGTGAGATCACTGTTCAGAGCTGGGGAACGGATCCGGATAGGACAAAGAGAGCAGGACCTCCCGAACCCGGGGAGCCCTGCAGACCCTGACGGCGTATCTGACTCGTTCTTTACTGCTTGTCTTTTTGGCCTGAAGGCTGCAAATGAGGGACTGGCTGTGTGCACTGAGTCCCATAATGAATTTCCCCTCCCCCAGGTCGACCAAAATTTTGACAATGATGATGTTCACCAGAAGAAGAAAAAAAAATCAGTCTCATGCACTTTACTTTGTTTTTATTTTAATTTTGTAATAAGAAAAACTTTTTTATTTGACAAAATTTGCCTAGTATGTATATATGTGCATAAAGTGTGGTGTAAATATACTAAACAAACTTATATTTCAATAAAAGGGAGTTTAAGATTTACGATTCAATTCCTGTGGTTTTAACTGTTTGAGCTATCTGATGCCCTGCCTGGTTTGAGAATGAGCTTTAGGGTTTCCCCCTTGTGGGTGTGCTTTTAAAACAAAGGATGCGTATATACCCTGCTTATGACTATGGAACTTACAGAAGTGAACAAAGACAAGAACAGATTCCCTGTTCTTCTCACTGAAATGAACCCTACTGCTGGAAATTGCAGAGTTCAGCACAGAATGTGGGAGAAGGTAGAGAGAAGGGGAAGGAAAGTGTTCTATTTCCTGGAAAATAAAACTTTGATATAAAGGGATGTCACTGTAATATATTCCTATATTAATCATGAGGCAACTACGATAGAACCAGATGTGCAGACTAAAATGACAAATGCTCCCTTTTAAACTTTAAACTAAAGTGGTCACATGTTGCACTTTATTTTCAGCATTGTAATTACCACGCATCACAGTGTGTACAAATAATAAATAATAAGCTGAACACATCGCACACAAGTAGAGAAAGTCATTCATTAATTCTTCTCTTTACTCTCCTGGCATAAATTCCATTGCATCCAGGAGATCATAATCTCCAACATCGGGAGTCATCATCCCGCTCTTTTAAGAGACTGTACTGCGTTGTTTTGTTAGTGGTTTTTTCCCCCAGGTACTAATTGCATGTTCCCCTCAGAGCAGCCATTGAGAGATGTGCAGTACTTCGTATTGGACATTTGGACTCTTACTTCTTGGGTACTGCCAATTTAGAAAATACTTTTGGATTGTCTTAAACTCCTTTTGACCCATAGGGAAGGGGAAAGGTGATTCTTTTGTTTTACAACCTACTGGTGTTTTATGTTGGTATTTTATTTGATAGCTGGGGCCAAGTGATCTTGCCTGTTATCTTCTTTTGATTTAATGACCTTTAACTCAAAGCAACTTTTGTTTACTTTAATTTTTTTTATTTGACTAGCATTTATAAACCTAGAGTTTTATAGACTCCTGAAGATATTAAATCTCTGTGGGTTCCCTTCTCACTATGTATTACAGCACAGCGTGTAATTTAACTACTATTTAATGCCATCCTTATGTTTTCAGTGCCTTATGCTAAGCCAAATCTTATCAACTGAAAAAAAATAGACTATAAACTTAGTAGTAATGGCCAAATTTTTTCATAATATAGCCATAATGTACAGATAACAACAAATATGTGTATTTTTCAAGACATTGTTAGTGAGACCTCTAATAATTACTTTTCAAAAAAACATTTTCCATATCTGATAATCAATGGATAACTATGTAAGATTTGCTACCTAAGTCAATGGAGGCTGCTCCAAGAAAAGGATAACTATTTAGCAACCTGCATTTTCACCCAACATGTTCATTGAGGAAAACAATGAGCAGAGATAAGTTAGAAGTTTCACAGATTGTGCAAGAAAACACTCTTGACTCCCATAGAATTTCTGTATGGGTGAGTTTTGGGCCAACGGCATTCTCTACATTCCTCCTAAACGTCAGTTCCAAGCCCAGACTTGACCATAGTTAACCCAGAGCAAGAAACTAAGCATAATTTAAGTGACTTCTTAGATTCTTTAGTGAATCATATCTGTCTGTTCAAGAAATAAGTTTAATTACATGGTGGAGTTGTTAAGGGAACCAAGTCTTAATTACAGAGACCAGGTTTTAACTGTTGCTTATTCTTCATGGATAATCAGTAGGCTGTGGCATGGAAAGATCAATTAAAGTTTTGCCATGGTCAGTGAATGCTACTAGGGCCAAGTCATTTTTCAGAGGAAGGGGGTAAAAAACCTCCAGGCTGTAGCACGATATGGAAAGAGTAATGGGTTCTGCAGACAGACTATATTCTGAATTCTGTCCCTCACCTATTTACTTTCAGCAAATCATTTAGCTTAGTTCCCTCTTCATTGTAATGGAGATTCGATCAGAATATTGTGGGATTTAAATGTTAACATATAAAACATAAGGGCACCTCATGAGTGTTTTAAAAAATTTCACTTCCTATTCATCTTTAGGGAAAAAAATAAAAAAGGTCTTGCCTTTCTTACATTTCAGTAAACTTCTACTAATTCTTATCATCAAAACCAAATCTGGAAGTATTCAAAGTTTTTGAAGTGTGGTAATAAGCTAATTCAACAAATTACTGAGGACCCTCTTTCAGCACTATGCAAAGCACTGGACCATGAGGCCAAGGGCACAGGTTTGACCTCTATATGGGCTTGAGTCGGTTGTTTCAGGATCTAAGCAGACTCCCTGGACCGAGGGAGCTATACTACAAATATATGAGGAGATTTAAAGAAAAAAAAAATGTAGATAGCTCCTTGCGAATTCATCGCCACTCTGGAAAGCATCAAAAAGTGATGAATCTTTGCAAGAACAATCCTCCCAATTCCTCTGCCAAGAGAAAGTAGGCAGTTGACCTTTTCTCCCTGGATTTGACTTGATTAATTCACATTGTCAATGACATAGTTCTAAACTCTATTAAGAATACTCGCCCTCCTGAATCAGGAAGAAAAACAAATTATTCTAACACATCTCAACGCTTCCCAACCTTCTGCCTAGACTGCAGCTAGCAGAACCCTCTAAGGCCTAGAGGTTCATTATGTGGATTAAATGAGTAAATATTCTCAGAACAGTGCCTGGCACATAGTAAATGTAACATAAGTATTTGTTTGTTGGTGGGGTAGATAATTTTCTCCTCTAAGTCAAAATCAGAGGCACTTGGAGCCCTAGGCGGAATGCTCTTTCACAATCCTGCTGTATCTCTGAGGTCAGAGAAGACTTTCTACGTGCTTCCATTTTGGACCAGGAAGACCAGCCAGGGTGCCTGAGTCTGGCAGGAATTACCTAAAGTCAGCTGGTTGTCTCCTTTCTGAGAATGCCCTCAATATGAGGCTTGACATGCACCCTCTCTTTTTCACAGGGAAGTTGTGATTCTGTTTCTCATGTGGCTCATCAGCTCCAGGAAGCAATGAGCTGCGGAATTTTTGTACCTTCTGAGCTACCCAATAGTCTTGGATGATCCAAGCCTTGGCACTCAATATTTATCTCCTGACACATCTGCCCCATCCCACAGAATTGCTGATCCTGTGTAGTATAAGGTCTGCGGTAGTACTAGGGAAGGAGAAAGGGGAGTTGAGTTGATCGAGAAACGCAGGAATTGCTCCAGAATAGAATAGAATGTAAGCTGCCAAGGTGGTATGGGAAGGGCAGGGCAGAGTTGACACCCACTTGCAAGCATACTTTGATCATTAGAGGATATTGGGAGTCAAGAGACCTGAGCTCCTTCTGACTCATGTGTAACTTGGAAAGTCAAGTCATTTCCCCTCTCTGGCTCCAGGTGTCTTGCCTGAAACAGGAGGTGTTTGATTTGACTGGTAACTTTCCAGTTTTGGGTTTTGTTTTGCTTTTTGTTGTTTGTTTGTTTGACCAGTACTTTAAGTCACAGGCTTTACATTGTGACCCAACAGGCATACACGCACACACTCATACAACTGAAACCAAATTTTCATAGAGCAATAGATGCCACATACTTTTAATATTCAATTCAGTTTTGTTCTATTCCTCCTCTTCCTCTACTTCCCAATGCTAAACTGATTCCAGTTCATTGGAGTGGCAAAGTGCAAAATGCTAGGATAGATGATCATTAAGCTCCTTTGCAGATCTGAGATCCTAGAGAAATTCCACTTATAACCAGTTTACCACCTACTACAATTTTCCCCCAAAGGGAATACAGATTTCAATTTTGTACACCCTTTAAAAACAAAAGACTGAAGTGGTTTTTCAAAATGTAATTGGGAGAACTGCTCAAAATCTCATAGAGAGGCTTTTTATGAACACCTCTAAAATTGCCTAAATAGGAGACGTTATTTCCAGTCTGTTCTGACCACATGTAAGCAAAAGTGCAATTGTGGGGCTTGGGATGGGAAAAATTAATTCTTTGAATCTCTTCCTCAACATGGCCCAAGGACAACTCAAGAGGACAGTTTCTTTTCTGTGTAGCCATAAAGATCAGATGTAAGAGTCGTAATTTTTTTTATGTGATTGTTTTACCAAGTTCTCTTTCTGTGTCCTGCTGTGAAAGAAACTGCATTAATAAACTATGTCTCAATGCTGCCTCGCTGGAATTTTTTTTCTCTGCAGGACACCACCAAATATAGTTAAAGGAATGCTCGTTTTATTTATCTTTTCAACTTTCTTTCCATTTTGGATATGTCTTCTTGACACTTTTGGAAAATTTCTCTTAATGGCACCTTTATATATATATATTTTTTTTAGGAGAGCAGAGAACTAACCATTCATCAAGTAACAACAACAACAGAAAAAAACTCTTCCCCCCGCCCCTTTGGCACCATATGGTATCTTTTATAGTTTTACCAGTTATTTTACACCCTATCCAGAAAAATTAAATAGCTTATGTATGGAACTGGCATTTTTCCAGTATCAGCTCACAGATTTTACTTTGCTGAGAAATTGCGGGTTAATAATAGAGAAGTGTCACTTTTTATTTGATGGTTCTATATCATGCATTTGTCTCTGCGTGTTTTATACCTTTCTCTCAATGCACTTTTAAAAAGTGGCCATTAAAGTCTTTGTCCCCATCCTACAAACGGCCTGGAAAAGCAAAGCAAGTGGGAACGACCACGGCCGTGATCTTTTTTCTCTTTTTAATTGTGCTAAAATACACGGGCCATAACATTTCCCATTTTAACCATTTTTAAGTGTACAATTCCATAATATGATACTATGAATGTTGTGCAACCTTACCATTATTTTCAAAACTTATTCACTACCTCAAACAAAAATTGTCATCATTAAGCAATAACTCCCCATTTCTCCCTTCCCCCAGCTTTTGGTAACTTCTAATCTACTTTCTGTCCCCATGAATTTGCCTAGTCTACATATTTCATATAACTGGAATCATGCAAGATTTGTCCTTTCGT